ACAGGAGGGGAGAGCAGAGAAAAAAATAGATAGATAATGAACACTAAACTAGAATAAAAGAGTGGGACTACATTAAGGGGATGATTGATTAGATATTTTGTATATAGTAACTGACAATCTGGAATGAGACATGCACTGAAATAATAAAAATATCACGTGTTTTATTCTAAATATACTATGTGCCCATTCACTTCTTTAAGTACTTTCATTTTTCTAAGGAACAGTTTGTAGTTTTCAGCATAGAACTTCTGCATGTCTTTCTAATCACTCTTAAATATTTTGAGGTTATTATATTCTTATAAATAAAAGTAAGTTGACATATTTAAAGATACTTTTATGCATATGATAGCAAAATCAGAAGGAAACTCTTGATTTTTCAAAGACATAACCAATTTTTACCATTTGCAGAGATTGGGTGCCTAAGGATTTGTTTAGGATGGTATGTTCTATTGCACATTGCCAGACATAGCTGTTTAATTAAAACCTAAAAGCATAGGCCAACTGATATTTAAAATAATATTCTTCTTATTGCATCCACAGTTGATCCTTAAACAAATAACGATTAGGAGTACCAAGTTCCTGCGCAGTCAAAATTGACATATAAGTTACAACTGACCCTTGAACAACATAGGTTTGAACTGCCCAAGCCCATTTATATGTGGATTTGGGTGGTTTTTTTTTCTTGATGCTACTTTGGTGAATTCGGGTGCTGTGAATGTATCAAGCCAGAAATTGTCTTTCGTCATTTTCTTAAAAAAAAAAGAATTTTATACTAGAAATAAACCTTTTAAATGAAACTGTAAATTACCTTGTGTCCTGACATCATACAGAATTACTTGGTATACTTCTTTCTCTTCAGGAATGTTGTCGTCCAACAAATGCACAGATATTGTTTGATTCAATGAACCCTATATCAAATAAAAACAAAATCAGCCCTTGTGTTATCACTGAGTACAAACTATCTAATGCTTATCTTGGCCTTTCAATTTGAGTATCTAAGTATAGAAACTAAGAGTTCCATGGCTTAAAAAATAACTAAAAGGCCACAGAATCATCGGAAATCAGGCTTAGAGTAAATAGATGCATATAGTGAAAGATCTTGAATCTGAGCTAAAGAATGCAGATTTTATATACAATGACCAATGTAATTACTAAAAATTCCAGACAAGGCAATCAGTTGGGAAGATATATTGCTATGACAATGGTGAACAGAAAAGATGGATGACTGAAAAGAGAACTAGAGTAGTGGTGAGAAGGGAAGGGTGCTAAACGTCCAATGTTGCAGTCAAGGTAGCAGGCTGTAGGTTATTCAGCAGTGGAAACAGAGGAAATGTCTCAGAGAGTTGGACAGTGACTAAGAAGGATAGAAAGAGAATTGATGCCTTTGAGCTGTGGTGCTGGAGAAGAGTATTGAGGGTACCATGGACTGCTAGGAAAACAAACAGATTCATCCTGAAAAGGGTTAAACTTTGGCTCCCTGGAGGCAAGGATTCTGAGGCTCCGTGTAACATACTTTGGACATGTTGTAAGGAGGGACTGGTCCTTGGAGAGGGTCATCATGCTTGGGAGGGTGGAGGGACAGCGCAGGAGAGGAAGGCCCTCTAAGAGGTGTATTGATTCAGTGACTGGGGTAATCGGGATGGGTGTATCGGAGACAGTGCGATTGGCACAGGACGGAGCAGAGTTTAGGACTGTTGTACATAGGGTCACTATAAGTCACAAGCGATTCGATGGCACATAACAACAACATAATCAGTAAACGATTCATACCAAGTTGATTTGGTAAAGACCTCGTGATGGTGGTGATTAATTACAAGAAACGTTTTTGCAGTTAATTCCCTCCAGTTAATCTTTTTCAAACTATGAGAAAGAATCCATCAACAGAACTTTTAAATATCATGTAAGCAGGACTTGAAAGGATTTGTTTTCTCAGAGCTCTATTTACAAATGTCATGTGCATAAAGTTCCAAGACAATGGGAGCAAAAAGTCCTGCCCATCATCTCCAGAATGACACAATTAATACCTACACTGGGAGGGCAGAGGGCAAGCTGAGACGCTTTAGAACAAAAACAGTAAAAGCAGCAAACATCAAAACTAACAAAAATGGACATCCAGCAGAAAGAGAAAATTCAGACATTTCCCACTAACGGAGAGTGGCAGGATTAGACTGCACCCTGTGAAGGGTGGAAAACATTTAAGACCTGAAACATAAAGCAAGCCCCTCAAATTCCAGTTTCTACAGGTTTCACGGTTTGAAGTTGTCATTTTCTGCTTAAAGCAGAGATTAACCTCAACACAATACAGAACAAGTGCCTTTCTAAGATTTAGAAAACCCTTAGAGTATTCCGTTAAGTTTCTAAGCAACTAGTTTTCATATCAATCTCCTTTTTTATTATATAATTAGAGTTTTCTTTTTCTTATAAAAATATGCTTTCCTCTAAATATTTATGGTAAAGTTCTCTCTCTGTGATATTACCTCAGAAAAGAAGAGATGTCCAGTAAAATTAGCAAAATTGAGTTCTAGATTTTGCCCAATAATTTTCCAATGAACGGTAACATTTCCTCGACCTGGGGGTGTTCTTATCACATGGAAATGTAAAATTTCTCCTGTAAGTGAAAGGGATAGACTGATAAGCATTTAATGAAAGTGAGCTTAAGAACAGAAATAAACAAAATCCAAATTCCACACATGCGATTATTACAGCACCTTCTCCAAGAACATTACAAAATCTGTTTTGGCTTCTTTAGAAGTTTTATACATGCTTATTGTTTCTTCACCTAAGGATCCAAGTTCTAAATGCTTCCATTTAGTAGAACTTCGAGAAGTTTCATATGTAAGAGTTACCAAACACATGCTAAAGTGAAAAACACAAACACATTTACACGACAAAGCATGCACCAAAACATGAATGTTCTGTAAATGAAAGAACATTAGAAAAGCCTCATGGTCAAAGTTGGTAATAGCACAAATTCTCCCTTCACTGCTCGAAAGGACACAAATTCTTTACACTGATATGCAATGTGATTTTACCCAATGCATGCATAAAAATGCTTGCAAATACCTGAAAATCACATTTGTTTAGATTATGACTTACATATACCATCAATGATTTTGTTTTACAAAAAAAAAATATAAAGGACAGATGTCAAATCAACCTCTACAACTTTACTAAAGTTTCAGCTAACTTCCTTATATGATTGGTAGTGTTTTTGATACTATCCATTTCTGGCTTTTATCCCATAGTAAGTAAAATTAAAGAAAATCATGGTAGCTGTTTATTTAAATTGTCAAAGTGAAAGGCAAACTCCTAGGGATTACTGCTGATCATGTTGCTTGCTGAAAAAAATATGTGCAATTTACAAGTCTTAATAGTACACTGAATACAAGTTAAAATATACTAATAAACTGTGTAGTGAAAACATATTTTTATTATAAAAAAGATAAATAGAATCATGTTTAAAAAAACTTTAAAATTACATATATTAAAATCTTTTTTTTGCATGGATATATACCTAAAATCATAACTATTCACTTAAAAGCAATGTTACTTCAGCAACTATATTTTGAATCTATAAATAAATAAATACTTCTAATACTTTTTAAGCAAAGAAAATTGAAAAAACAAAATACAAACACTTTTATCAAAGTTTTAAAACTATTACAATTTTTAAATTTGTTTTAGAAAACTAAGTAGTTAGGTAAAGATTTTTAAAATTCAAATAGCATGAAAAAATTCACTTACAGACTCTCAATTTCAATTGATAAAAAAGCAAGTTTTCATACTAAATTTAAGCACATACAGTTTTAGTCTAATGTACTTCTTGGGGAGAATTATGAATAAAAGAAAGAAAAGGCATATGAGAGATTTCTAAATAAGATCACTTCTACTGACTCATCAATTATGCACATTTCAAATGTTCCGATGCAAAGGAAAGAAAAAAGAATAACACAAACCACAAAACTGGTCAACTACTACTACATTAGCAGGTAGTGTCTTGGATTTTCTTGTTTGAAAAAACAAAAAACAGGCATTGCTAATTAGGAACTAGATTTTCCAAAGTTGATGACATAGATGGAATATTGTGTACAATTAATTATAATTCCCAGGATATCACTTTAATTTTTTTATACTTGTATGCCTAGTGGCAAGAAGCTGTGCTGCAATCCCAAAGGCATGCGACTCAAGACCACTAGCTGCTCCGTGGGGAAGGATGGACACTTTCCCGTGTCACTAACTGACTCTGAAAACCCACCAGAGGGCCAGCAAAGGGTCAGGTCCAATTCTACGGTACAAAACAACAACAATTCATATTTTGGAGAAACGATGATCTCAAAACATCCGTTTCTCTGTATGAAAGTCTGGGTTTATATTATTACAAACCCATTGTATGGTTTATTTTTAAAGCAAAATGAAATAAAGAAAATGCAATCTCTCGCCACAGAAAACACTCAGTACATGTAATTATTCTGGTTATTATTACTCAGAATAACTTACCCAACATGACTTTTGTACTTGCATTTTGTGACAAATACTTTGACAGTTGATGCTCTATCTTTAGAATGGACTTATGACAATTTATTAGTCACTTATGCTCACTATTGCTATGACAATTTACTATTCTAGACCACTTAAATAAAGCAAAGTTAGAAAATGTCTCTGACATTTGCATGCATGTTAAATAAACGTGAAAATTGTGAAGACAATAATGTAAAATATAATGGCCAGGAAAACGCATTCCATTTCCAGCACAACCACTAACTAGCTGTGTGATCTCATGAAGCCATTAATTTTTTGTTTCTCCGTTTTCTCATCTATAAAACAGAAGTTCAATAACTCACCATTTTATTTCTTAACTCTGTAAGATGAAATTACTATTTTTATTAATTCCAAGACCAAATGATATGGTGAAACATGGGCTATAAATAAAAATTCTTGCAAAACAGGTTTGTTTAAAGAAAAAAATCCCAACTACTAGAATGTCTTCAACTAACCAAAATTAGCCTATATTCTACATATGACTTGGGAATATTAAGAAATGATTCAAAAAATAACTATTTTTACAGAAAATATAATTTCAACTCACATTTGGTATAACTATCATGTTTGGCACTTTGTTGACAAACTAATCAAGTACTATCAATCTATCTCAAGCTGAATAATCACTAGTTAAAACTGCTGCTTGTCTTCACAAGGATCCAATGGTTCAATATTTATTGCCAACAGCTACCACTGACACCTATTATGCCTTCCAGGAAGTAAGCAAAGCACTTCATAGTCAGTCAGTCTTCACAAAGACACTGATGAAGTAAATATCATATTTCCCATCAAACAGATGAGAAACTGACCATTCCAGGCTTGACTAGCCTCTACAATATCACTCAAGTGGGGAACAGCAAGCTAAAACCCACTATCAGTTCTGCAAAACTCCTAACTATATCACTACGCAGCCCTTTCACAGATGAATTGAGTGAAAATTAACACACAGATCTCAACAAAGTAGTAAGAGGGGAAATTGGAAGCTTTAAAAGACTAGAGAAACAATGACATCCACAGAAATGAGAATAAGGGTGCTCATCAGGAAGAAGAACCCACCTTCATGACCTATGACAGATCTGGAAGCTGTTTGAAAGCTAACAACTCCAGCTACATTGTCATTGGCCAAAATATTTACTCTAACAGTGTCAGAGCTGGGCAAGATTCTGCTTCCACCGTCGGTGTACACCAAACTAACAAGGATGCTTTCATCGTCCTCTGGCTCGGAGTCATCCAAAATTGTTAAGATAACTGTCTTTTTGGTTTCACCTAGAGAGAGAAAAAAATGGAATAGAATAAAAAACATACTAATATAATGTCACAAAAAGACTTTCTCTTAAAATAGTTTCAATAAATAAATTTAAATGCATCATAATTATTTAATTCCTTGAGAAATGCTAATGCTATTATTGTTAGGTGTCACTGAGTCATCTCTGACTCATATCAAGTGAATACACAACAGAAGGAATCACTCCCCGGCCCTGTGCCATCGATCCTCACAATCTTTACTGTGCTTGAGGCCACTGATATAGCCATTGTGTCTGATATTTCACTGTGAGAAACTATTAGCATCACGTAAAATACTTCACTGTAAAATATTCAGCAAATATAGCAGAATGCCATATATTTCACTGTGAGAAATGTTGCCATGTATCATCAATTCAGAACCTACTTAAAGCTGACCTTCCAGAAAGTATCCCGAGACAGTAAATCACACCATCAAAAGTAAATTTTGCATTTTAACCTGTGTTCATTTGTATACAAAATACAGTAAAATTCCATTAGCATATTGCAAAGAAAGTAACTGTTGAAGTATGGATAAGACATAGAAACTTAAAAAAAAATATGACTTTATTTTACTTGGTTGTCCTAGTTTTTTGAAAACTTTTGAACATACCATGAACAGTCAAAAGAACAAACAGGTCTGCCTTGCAGAGGGTTAAACCAAGTTTCTTCTTAGAGACTAGGATTCTGAAGCTCCACATCACATACTTTGGGCATGTTGCAAGGAGGGACCAGTCCTTGGAGAAGCACATCATACCCATTAAAGTGGAGGGACAGCGCAGGAAAGGAAGGGCCCGGATGAGATGGACTGACAGAGAAACTGGGGCAATGAGGTAAGTATGTTGGAGTCCGTGAGAATGGCAAAGGCTAGGACAGGCTTCAGAGCTATTTTACATATGATTGCTATGCGTTGCAGGTGACTCGATGGCACATAACAACAGCAACAGGTTAACTTTAGAAATGGCCTCGTCTAAAGGGACCATTATAGCTTTACTGTGAATATGTAATTAGAGAATTAACTCAAAACCTCACTAAACATTACTAAACTTCACTAAACAAAACCTTACAATACAAGAAACATTCAGGGAATCATAGCCAAAATGTGGAACAGAAAAATTGGGAAAATTCTGAGCAAAAGACTCTGAATGAAGTGACTCTTTCTATACGAGTTGAAAGTATTTATGGAAAATTTCTTAGAATGTGGGTCAAAACGGAAAGTTGAAGAGGAATTCAAAAGGCAAAATGATAGTCCAAGATTAAAATAATTTGGTTTTTAATTTGGCCTAAAACTCTACTAGCACATGAGTCATCACTAAACAACTGTACAATCAACAGACTCCCCCGCTGCATTTAGCATATGATTTCCACAAATTTATTTCACCTTGTTTTCTGGAAAGAGGATGAAAGGATGCAGAGACACAAGGCAAGACAAAAAGAAAAGGGGAATAGAATAGACGTATCCTCGTTCGCAATTCTTGCACTTTTTCATCAATTTAGAAGTGACAAGACTGGCCAGAGAGTGTACATTATCTAAAAATAGAGGTGCGCTGTAAAATACAGTCCATTTTATATTATGATAAAACTATGATTCAATGTAATAATAATCTGTATAATGTTACTAGTTTATACATATTATTTTCGGGGTTTTGTTTTTTATTTACCAAAGCCATTGGACAGTCAAACCCCTTCCTCATTAAATTTTCAGTATTCTCTTTGAAACAGGGAGAACCATTTATAATTACCAGACTGCCTCAACAAGTATATCAGATTCCAATATTTCCTAAATATTTTACTGGGAGCTATGCATTACAGAAAAGCTTCATATTTTGAAAAAACTTGCTATGAAATGAAATTCTTACTAGATGTTTTCAAAGGGTATTCTGTAACATGCAGCATAGTCCCAGGCATTGTGTTCTTTTAAAGGAACATATATATGTATGTATATGTATATATATTGTGTATATATATGTATATGTAAAAAATATATAATAAATTGCTCTGGAATATGAGATTATGAACATTTCTTTTGTTCATTCTGTTATAGGTGTGACATTTTTAATCTTTTAACCATAAAGCAAAATAAATTTACACAATCTCTGAAAATATCTTTATAAATAACTAACACTGTCCATATATAGGGCCATGTCAACCTACATACAACATGGCAACCACGAACAAGTCAATTAACTTCCATTTTTCAAGATCTTATAATATTTTCACACATAAACAAAAATGTAAACAGTAAAAATTACTATAAAAAAATTATCGTAGGAATTGGCCAAGAGAACTCTGCTAGAAAGAATTGAAAGTCATTTAGAACTCACCTTCAGCAAAAGTCAAAATGTCTCCAGCGCCAATAAAGTCTAAACCTTCAGTAGCCGTTCCACCAACAACACGCCATTCGACTGTCACTTGGCCTAAGCTGCCCCCTGTCCGGTGGATCACCAGGTCCACCGTGGTTTGTGGTTGCTCTTGAACTTCAACATATAGGCCATCTTCTGATGCATTGGGGCTAATACTATAGATGATGAACACTCCAAAGGCATCACCATTTAACGCTATAACAACCGTAGAAGTATTTGGCTGTCCTATCGTGGGCTGATTTTTTAAACTGGCTGTGATGTTCATGAGGTGAACTTCCAGGAGAGAAATCAGGAAACTCTCATCCATCTCCGGGAAATCATCAGGAAGAATACAAACTGTGAGATTTGCAAATTCATCCCCTTCCAGCATTATGGCCCACTGCCTCGTCACAGGTTCATAGTCACTCCCAGCCACAGCCTGACTGCTAAAAAGAGATGAGACTCTGGTTGTGTTTTTCCGGTAGGTCCAGAAATCAGAGCTCTTGCCAGCTGGACTGATCCAAGATGTCATCCAGAAACACTGAGGACTCTCAGGAGCACCGAAAAATGAAAATGCTAAACAAGCATGTTCTCTGAGGCACAAAGTAGCACAAGTATACTGCGGGTCCCCCACTGCAGAGATATTCACCCAAGTTCTCCAAAGTGGATCCGGCACCCCTTGAATTGGCGGTTCATAGTAGGAAAATAAATCTTGGCCTTCTTCAACAGCAAGAGCCACCACGTCAATGTCAGATGTACTGTAGAACAGCAGCAGCTGACCAAAGTGCCCTCCGCTACAACATGGAGTGACAGGTGAAAGACAGGTTAAGACCTCAGAGTAATGTATGCATCATACACACAGAAGAGCATCTCTCCTTGTGGCTTTTACTTTCTTTTTAAAATACACTGAAAACATTAGTGTCATGTTTCATAATTATATTTGTCTTTCAATATTTTGTTTTCTCATGTAAGGAAACCTACTAGTTTTCATTAAAAGAAGACTTATTTCTAATCAAGTTCTAAAAATACTTTGCAATATATGCAGCTACATGACCTCTGACATATCAGAAAAAACTATAAAATTGATCTGATGTTCACTATTAAAATAGAGTAATGTTAATATCACTGTTAAGGAATACGTTTTACAGGGTCCCAAGAAACTGCATTTTCTATTTCAAAAGAAACTCGGTGAACAGTATGCTTATTAATGAGAAAAAAAATGGGGGGAAGTGGAGAGAATCTTCAAATTAACCACTTTATACAGCATCTGTTGTTGTGGTTGTTATTAGGTGTCGTGGAGTAGGGTACAACTCAGAGAGACTCTATGAACAACAGACCGGGCCCTGTCCTATCCTGTGCCATCTCACAATCTCTGGCACACTTGAGCCCACTGCTGCAGTCACTGTGTCAATCCACCTGGTTGAGAGTCTTCCTTTTTTTCACTGTCCCTCCACCTAGAGGGACGTCATCAATTTAAGCTCAATCCTAACAAATCACGAATAAATTTCTGGGTTGCAAAGTCCAGTCATGTAGAATCCATTATCCATTTCCCCAATAACAGTGCTGTTAGGTACCTTTGCATTGATTCTGATTCACAGCAATCCTATGTGGCAAGAGTTGAGCTGCCCCATAGGATTTCATAGGTTATAACCTTTACAGGATGCCTGGTGTGGCAGAACAGGTCAGAACCTACTAACAAAAAGGACTGGTGGGTTTTATGTACCAGTGGCTCTGCATAAGAAAAGAAGTGGGAATCTGGCCCTATTAACATAATTTAGAAAACCTTATAGGACATTTCTACTCTATAGTAAAAGACCAATATGAGTCAGAATTGATCAATGGCACACAATCAAACGCCAAGCTTTACAGAAGCCAGTCACTGAATCTTTCTCCCATGGAGATGCTGAATGGGTCTAAACCAACACTTTGGTGATTGGTAGCTCAGCATTTAACCGTCATTGTCACCATGACTTCAATAACAGGTTATATGATAGCATATAACCTATAGCTTAAATTGAAAGCATTAGATATCATTCAATCAAAAATACAATAGCTTTAAAAAAATCATTTACAGTGTAAACAGCACCAAATTTAAGAAACATAATTCAGCAAGAGATCTTTCCCCACCATCCCACAACCCCCACATTCCCCAATCCAGCTGATATACCTTCGCCTGACAGTTATGTTAGCACAGGAACTTCTTTCCAGAGGTTCTTGAACTCGATAAACCGATTGAACAAAGGCTACTGTACCATAAGGATTATCATTGGCAGGAATAACAATTTTAGCCACTCGATCTAACCCAATAGAACCTCCACCAGAGGCATCTGTTAGTTGCACATGAATAACCTAAAAATACAGTGAAAACTTCCTTAACAGCATCCCAGTTCTGAAATTAGAGTAATAATGATTGATTTAAAAAAAATAGTCAAATATATCAATACAAGCATAAAACCAAACTTGAAGGAAGTATAAGTGAGCTCAAGGAAACTCTCCAATTACATTTTTGAGACCAGGATGAAACAAAATAACCTATCATCAACTTTTAATAAAAGAGGATAATTTATATATGACAGATAAGCTATTTAAAATGGCTTAATATACTATTACATAACTTCATGATTCAAAATTAAGACATTTATTTTAATTTATAATTTTAGCAATATGACTTTTATACCATATCTTTATTATTTTGAGAAAATAATGTTTATGATTCATCATACATAGTTAATTATTCTCTATTTTCCATATTAAATGGAATTTCTATGATAGGAATTAAAACAAAAAATATGGCATCGTAGAGTCATCTATACTTTAAAAAAGGAAAAAGAAAATTTGTATTTATCTAGTAAATTTTAAGAGGTAAAGACCACACTAAAAAAAAGTATGAGTTTCTCTTATAAATGTTTGATACTGTCAAGTATAAAGGTTATTAAAGGTTACTTTACAGTAGTAAGGGCTTAATAACACTTAAATGTCATATATAACACTTCATTCAGTCAGTATAGTATATATTAGTGATAAATGAATTTTCCCAATGAAACTTTATTTTTTTGTCAATTTTACTTTTTATTATAATAAAATAAGTATCAAGCAGATGTGTCTAGCACAGTGTTGGTCATATAGTAAATCCTCAAAAGCATCGAAAACAGAATTAATGACTAGAGAATCAAAATTTACACCTAAATTGCACTTACAATATTCAAGATGAAATGATTCACATTGAAACAAAATTAATTATAAATGCAAAGTAAGTTTATATTAAATAAAGTAAAAATTTATTCAAAGCATTGAAAACTGAAACAGCTGTCAAATATATATATATATATATACACACACACACATTAATATATAGTCATAGGTAGATGACTTATCAATATTCTTGATTTTATTATCTATATCTTTACTACTATAGTATATTATTTTATCTTACACTATATAGTATAGCATCTTATGCTACTAGATATTTCAATCTTTTGAACATTTTCACAGAAATAACTTGACATCCTTTCTACAATACTAAAATAACATCCATTTTCTCTAGTCATTATGAGACAGTCATGTTTCACAGTATCATTCTATACTAGCCATTCCTCTCACCTCTTCAATCTCCGGAACGTCGTCAGCCAGGACCTCTAACAACAAGGTTTGAATGGTTTCCCCAGGGGCAAAGGTCACATTACCTGAGACAACTCGCAGGTCGCCAGTAGCAAGCTGTCCATTAATGGTGGCAACCCACTGAACAGTAACATTGCCAAGTGTCCCAGAATTTCGAATTATTGGCAGGTTTACCTTCACTGAGTTAAACTCAGGTTCCTCTACAATAATTTTAGTTATCTGAAAACCTGAAAGACAAATTATAGAGTTAATTTCAAATGCAAAGTAACATTGATTCCACTTACAATCATCCTATTGTTGCTATTGTTGTTGATTGCCATGGAGTCGAGCTTGACTCATAGCAACTCTATAAACAAAGGGCCTGAAGTCCTTCTAACACCATCATCATTTATCAAAGTTCATAGAGTTTCCAGAGGAAGTGGATAGTCCATTCTTTATTCCGTAAAGCAACTAAAGTAGCTATGTGCTCATTAATCAGAATAACGTACTATGATAGAAAATCACCAGGCCTTGACAAAATTTGAAAAAGGTTTCACATCACAACAGAAACTAAAAGAAAAGCCTCAGCTGTCCACAAGCCAGGCAAGCATGAGGAAAGTGACACAACTGAAAAGGTTCTCATGAGTTCTGTAGCTATCTGGAAAATGTAAGCATGGTCTAAAAGACAACAGGCATTTAAATTTCCTGGTAAATGCCAATCATGACAGGAAATACCAAGCAAGATATTTCCAATATAAGGAAAGTCTTGAAATAGACCTAGCTATCAAAATATTAAATATTTCTAAATAATTTCTCTGAACTTACATCTAGAAACCATACCTGACCAAAAAGGCACAGGTTTGTGACTTCTGAATAATTTGTTTTCAATTAATTTTTTTATTTTAATGAAAGTTTACAGAGACTTTGGATTTCCATTCACTCATTGTTGCACACTTTCCTCCCTGCCCACCCCTCCCCAGTTCACTTTTCTCATTCAAAAGTAAAAAAAAAAGTCATTATTATTCAATCCCCCCTCCCAGTCCATTCCACTATGCAGCATTCATTTAGGATTCTTGTCATGACAATAATACCTCATCATATATTCCTCCTAAACAGTTCTCTCCCTCATCTGTTTCAATGCAGTATATGTTATTTATCCCCTCTTAGTTTCCCGTCAACCCTGATGTCAGTCCCATTTTACAACAGTTGTACTATAAAGTATTTGTCCTTTTGTGACTGAGATATTTCACTCAGTATAATATCCTCCAGCGTTACCCATTTTGTATAATATTTCATGAGTTCCTTGATTTTCAATGCAACATAGTATTCCATTGTGTGAATATACCACAGCTTCCCTATCCATTTGTTTGTTGATGGGCACTTAAGTTATTTCCAACTCTTTTCTACTGTGAACAACGCAGCAATAAACATTGTGTGCATATATCTCCTTGGCTGGCAGTTCTGGTTTCTTTAGGGTATATTCCCTGTAGTGGAATTACTGGGTCAAAGGGTACTTCTATTTCCAACTTCTTGAGAAAGTGCCATACTGCTTTCCACAATGGTTGAACCATTTTACACTCCCACCAACAGTAAATAAGGGTGCCAGTGAAATGTCTGTTCATATCCTGTGTCCATTTTGCAACAGGGTTATTTACCTTTATCTTCTTGTGGTGCTTGAGCATTTTATAAATTCTAGATTTAAGTTCTTTATTAGACATATCATTACCAAATATTTTTCCCAGACTATGGCTTCCCTTTTTGCCCTGCTGGAGAAGGTTTTGGATTTGCTTAGGGGTCCCATTCATCTATTTTATTCTCTCCTAGTTGTAGGTATTTCAGGATGCTATTTTATAAATCACAGACTGAGTTTGCTCGGCTCCACAGTCAACACTCTTGGCACCAGCAGTCAGGAAATAAAAAAGTGTATCATGATGGGAAAGTCTGCTGTTGGGGACCTCTCTAAAGTACTCAGGAGCAACGGTGTCTCTCTGGAGACTAAGGTGCACCTGATACAGGCCATGGTATTTGCAATCGCTTGTTATGCATCAGAGAGTTGGACAATGACTAGGGAGGACAGAAGGAGAGTGGATGCTTTTGAGTTGTGGTGCTGGAGAAGAGTACTGAATGTACCATGGACTGCCAGGAAAACAAACAGATTCATCTTGGAGAGGATTAAACCAAGCTACTCCTTGGAGGCAAGGACTCTGGGGCTTTGTCTGACATACTTTGGACATGTTGCCAGGAGGGACAGGTCCTTGGAGAGGGACATCATGCTTGGGAGGGTGGAGGGGCAGCGCAGGAGGGGAAGACCCTCTATGAGATGGATTGATTCGGTGACTGGGGTAATCGGGATGGGTGTGTCAGAGGCGGTGCGGTTGGCGCAGGATAGAGCAGGGTTTAGGGCTGTTGTGCATAGGGTTGCTATGAGTTGTAAATGACTCGACGGCACATAACAATAACAACAACCAAACATTATCAGTAATGACTGTCAAAAAGGAACTCTGGAGGAGCTGTACTGGGAAGGCCATACTTCTCTGGTGGTTTGAAGTCACCAGCTGCTCCTTGGGAAAATTTTGGGCAATGGCTTCCATGTGATTTTCACACCCAAAAACCCAGTGGAGAGTCATCTATGTGTTGGTAGCTAATGAATAGCCATGAATTACTGTCAGGAACTGCACCCTAAATACCCTTGAATGGCTTGATGAGCTGTGTCATCATGTCCAAACGAACTGATTGTTGAAACTCAAGTGGATTTTTCAGACTATAATTTGCACAGGACACTGCCAATCTTCTTCCTGAAAAACACATGGTGGATTCAAACTGCTTGCCTTTGGCTTGGAAGTGTAACTCTTTACCATTCAATCCCAAGAGCCCAGTTTAGTTAAAATAAATAAATAAATTCAAGTCTGAGTCTCTAAAAATAAAAGAAAAGGGATTTTACACGACTTTACAGACAAGTAAAAAAAGATTAGACTAGATTGTTGTTATTGTTGTTGTTATGTGCCATCGAGTTGTTGCAACTCATAGCGACCCCTATGTACAAGAGCCCTAAATGCTGTTCTATCCTGTGCCAACCTAGCCATCTCAAACACACTCATTCCCACCACTCCACTCACAGAATCGATCTATCTCATTGAAGGTCTTCTTCTCTTTCGCCACCCCTCCACTCTGTCAAACATGATGTCCCTCTCCAAGGACCAGTCCCTCCTTGAAACATGCCCAAAGTATTTCAGATGAAGCTTCAGAATCCTTGACTCTAAGGAGCATTCTGGCTTCACCCTCTCCAGGACAAACCTGTTTGTTCTCCTAGCAATCCATGGTATATTCAACACTCTTCTCCAGCACCACAGCTCAAAGGCATCAATTCTCTTTCTATAATCCCTATTCATTGTCCAACTCTCTGATGCATAGCACATAGTTGCAAAGACCATAGGCTGGATCAGGCTCACCTTAGTCTCCAGCCTGATGTCGTTGTGCCTCAGTATTCTTGAGAGGTCCCTCACAGCTGACTTTCCCAATGCAATTTGTCTCTTAATTTCCTGGCTGTTGTTACCAAGAGTGTTGACTGTGGAGCCAAGTAAACTAAAACTGTTAACTATCTCAATCTCGTCACCTTCCATCCTGATGCTGCCAATTGGCCCAGTGGTGAGAATTTTTGTTTTCTAGCTGTCCAACTTCAATTCACAAAGAAGGCTGCAGTCCTTGATCTTCTGCAATAAGCGGTTCAGGTCCTCCTCAGGCTCAGCAAGCAGAGTTGTATCATCTGCATAACGTAGGTTGTTAATGACTCTTCCACCAATCCTGATGCCACATTCCTCCTTGTACAGCCCAGCGTCTCGGATGATCTGTTCTGCAAACAGATTGAAAAGGGAGACAGAACACATCCCTAACAGACCTCCTTCTTGGTTTTGAACCATGAACTGTCTCCTTGCTCTGTTCTGATGACTGCCTCTTGGTCCAAGTATAGGGTTTGCATTAGCACAGTCAAATGTTCTGGGATTCCCATTCTTCTCAGAGTCAGCCATAGCTTGTTGTGATCCACACAGTCAAAAGCCTTTGCATAGACATTGAAGCACAGATAGACATTCTTCTGGTATTCTTTGCTTTCTGCCAAGATCCATCTAATATTAACTATAATATCCCTAGTACCACGACCTCTTCTAAATCCAGCCTGCACATCTGGCAGTTCTCTGTTGGCATACTGTTCTAAACGTTTTTGGATAATTTTTAGCAGAATCTTGCTTGCATGTGATATTAATGATATAGTTCAATAATTTTCGCACTCTGTTGGATCATCTTTCTTTGGAATGGGAACAAATACCAATCTTTTCCACTCATTTGGCCAGCAGGCTGTCCTCCAGATTTCTTGGCATAACTTAGCACATCCAGGGCAGTATCTGTTTGTCAAAACATTTCAATTGGTATGTCATCAAATCCTGAAGCCTTGTTTTTTGCCAATTCCTTCAGAGTAATTTGAACTTCCTCCTTCATCACCATAGGCTCTTGTTCATATGTTATTTCTCGAAATTGTTCTGTGTTAGCCAAGTCCTGTCTTTCATCTACTGATTTGTGTAGAACGCTTGTCTGTCAGATACCGTTATATATATTTAAAAATTGAGACAGACTAGGAAGAAGGATTGGCCATCCACTTCCAAAATGACAGGCCTTTGAAAACCCTATGTACAATAGAGCACACTTAGACTATCGCTTGGACTAGCAACCATGGCAATTGAGACTAGCTTACTTACCAAATAATCCATAGGGGTCATCAGAGGCCTCAATAATAATGACTGCCTCTGTTAATGCCCCTAGCTTGGCTCCGCCTGTTGTTTCATTCACCAGTTGCACGAGAAAAGACTCTTCCAGCTCAGGATAAATATCATTAATAATATATACTGGCACAGCTTTGCTGGTTTCCCCTTCTAGCAAGACCACATCCGATGAGGCTATACTATAGTCTTCGCCTGCAAAAATAAGAAAGCAAAATGTTAAGACTTCAATATCAAGTATAACCATGAACATTCCACATATTAAAGAAAGAGTTTCTACATCTGTATTTCTTTTTTTTAAATTAAATTTAATGAACATTTACAGACAGAGATTTTGGGTTTCCATTCATTCATTGTTGCACTATTTTCTCTACCCCCAGTTCGTTCCTCTTTTCCCCTCCCCCCCAAAAGTCTGTTTTAATTGTCCAATTGCCACAGTCCTTGTCAAAGCCAGTTCTGATTAATTTCCTTTGTCAGTGTGTCCTTGGCCATTCCCTATCACTCCTGAGAGAGACTTCACCCTGATTCATAAGGAAAAGGGGACGGCGTATTCTCTTAGCTACTTCCTGCTGA